GTTATTAGAAAGTCCTGAAAGTTTCAAAGAAAATGAACGTGCCTTTCTTGAAATATTTAATTTTCAATGAACTTGGCAATTTGGTCCTCCTGTAATAATAGGCTGTTTGCTTTGAAAAATGAATATCTCGAGAAAGGTACGTTCATTGTCTTTAAAATTTTCAGGACTTTCTAATAACTAATAGATCTATCTATAGGCAAAATTTCAGGTCAAAATTATTTGTTTTAAGGTTTTTGGAAATACCCTGTCCCAAGTAAAAAATCCAGTAAAACGGCCATAACTCTTGACTAATACGCCATGGGAACGAACGCTTCTATGGTTTTTTTAGTCTCACTGAGGCCTACCTGTAGCCAAAAGATGAAGCCAAAAGCTCGGAATCAGTTGGATATGTTCCCTCGTTAGATAACGTTCAATTTCTCAAGGTGGTCGATTTCATAGATTATCGACCCCCCTCCTTTGCCAGGGTATGATTATTAGTAGATGCGAATGCGGGTATGGATGTAACTAAACACGGGCTGCGATCTCTCAGCCACGATTCACATTTTCATTAATAACACATACACGCGAACATTGAAGTTTTGTTAAATATAAGAAGGGTTCTCAATTGTTCTGCTTTCGTTTTTTTTCTCATGAATCTAGCAATACAGGTTGAGTTTATAAATCCATCGCCACTAACATGATACTACTACAACGGTGTAAAATAAAATTTAACATAGTACTCGTTAAAAGGGTGCGAGTATGTAGTAGGTACCCAGATGAATAAATCCGATCGAATTCCGGGAAACAGAACTCCAGACGGATGAACCCTATTTTATTAATTGGGTTCTAATGAGGACCTGCTGACATTACTAAAGATTGGTCAAAAGTTCGCGTGAGATTCTTCGAACTCCTATACTAGAATCCAATAATATCCCATACTAAGGATCTGAATGTCATTCCGATCGAATTTTATCTGTTTCATAAAAACTCTATACAATCCCATCAAATCTGAGCATCATAATGATTCACTTGTGTACTGGCCTAGCAAAGTAGCACCTTATTCCACATCCAAGCACCGAGGCACGGAACCTCAATCCGACGCCGTTCCAAAATTATCGCTTCATAATGTACAATGTGTAAGTGCGAGCCAAAACAAAACGAAAATGTTGATATTTCGTTCTGAATTAGCTCAGGAGATTTTATTTTTGCCTATTTTATTGATATATATCGTGTAACTAATTTTCAAAAAATCTTTCTGATTGTTGAAAATGGCCACGAGCATACGCGATAAATATAGTGGTGTATGCATTCAAGCTGTTGTCGACGAGAAATATATGATGCCCATTCGTGGCTATGAGAATATGCCACTTGTTTCACTTGAAGAAGCTGTCCAACCACTTGTTCCTATTCTACAAGATGTTCAGCAAATGGTTTATATTGTCAAGCAAAAATGTAAGAATCCATCTGATGGTTTGACACCAGATGAATCAGCTTCCATTATGCTTTACACGATGGAGTGGACGCCACATGATGATAGCTTATATTTTGCTTTAAATAATACACTACGATCAGAAGATGGACAACAAAAACTGGAACCTTGGCATCTTTATTTAAGACTTTTTCTCAATGCCCTCTTTCGTCTTCCGCCACATCGTACTACTGCATATAGAGGTGTTAAGTTGGATCTGAGTGAGCAATATATCAAAGGAAAAACATTTGTCTGGTGGGGTTTCTCATCTTGTACAACATCTTCTAATGTTCTACAATCGGACGGGTTTGTCGGAACAACTGGTACAAGAACAGTGTTTGTCATAAAATGTGAATCAGCTAGAAATATTCACAAACATTCGTTTTATCCATCTGATGATGAAATACTTCTGATGGCTGCAACTCAATGCAAAGTAACGAGCTATATTAAACAAGGTGATCTACATACCATTCACTTGGAAGAAATTTCCTCATCATTTCCACTTTTACAATTAGTGCCAACATCTACTCCATCGCCGATCAAGCCAATATCGGCAGGTAAGTGAAATTTAAAGCAAGATTATATTTCACTCAGTAAGTAGCAATCCTATCTATCGATATCACGAGGGAAGTCAAGAGTTGTAGTTCTTTATCCATGTATGGTAAAATATAAGAACAAAGATCTATTCATTAACTACAAAAACAAAGTTACGAAAATGCTGAAAATCGATTCCTTTTAAGACCCCAGAAGAATTGTTATTGGATGTAGGAATATTCGATTAAGGGGCTCCCCCCCCCCTCAGGAATCGTTTTTCATTATTCGTGGACCGATTTGTCTGAAATTTTTTGGCAATATGGATGTTGTGTTAACTCAATTTATTGCAAAGTTTTGGCTCAT